AAGAAAATGATGATGAGAAGAAGAAAAGAAGTGAGGAAGAAAAATAAGGAGAAAAATAAAAAATAAAAAAATTGTCCTTGATTACTTATCTGCGCGACGGCGATGACAAGGACGGCGCGGCACAGCGACAAGGACGAGAGGCATGGTGATGATGACGTGGCGCAACGGCGGCGATCCCGTCGGTGAGGATGATGATGGGGCACAATGACGATGATCGCGATGATGACGATGATGACGTGGCACGGCGGCGATGATCTATGATGGCCAGGTGACGACGTCGAAGCGGGGTGGGTCGGGCGGGTTCGAACCGCTCCGATACCAGAGTAACGAGCGTGAGGCTGAGGGTGAGCCGAGGGAGATGAGAGAGAGGGAGAGAGAGGGAGAGAGAGGGAGAGAGTGAGACCACACACACACACTCACTCACTCGACACGACGGACTCGGACTGAGGGTCGGATGCAGACACAGTGGCAAGGCAGAAAGTCGAAGTCTTGGATCCCCGAATGCCGAAAACAGCAAGTCACACTGAGTACGAGTACAGCAGCAGAGAACTGGTACCAGCCTGGTCCCCGTACCGTACGGGGAGCCGGTATAAGTACCGGTGACACGTACGGTACCGGGGGCATTTCTGCAAAGGCCCCGAGGGCAGAACTGAAAAATGCAGTATTTGAAAGTGGCGCCCGAATTGCAGCATGGCGCCAGTTGTCCAAAATCCTACGGTACCAAAAGGAGGGGTTTGGAAAAGGGGTGCCAGGCCTAAAACGGGATGCAGCCGAAACAGCAAAAGATAGACCAGGGATCGAGCCCTGGCGAAGTCCGTAACAATATCCCATATTTTCACCCACCTCTTCTCTATCTCCTGACTGACCCTTGGGAAGGATAATGAGCACCAGGGATGATGTAAGGAGGGGGGGGGGGATTGGCGGGGAGTCTTGGAGAATGACATTCAAATTTCAAATATGATTATCCTCAGGAAAACTGGGACGACGATACAAAGTACATCAGTAAAAGAAAGAAACCTCCTGTCATTACCGAAGCAGGGACAATTTGATTGGGTTAAACTTCTTCCATTGGCTCTGGCTCTCTTTCGTGTTTCTCAGCCTATTACCGTCTTCCTTCTTTTTGGAGGGGGGGTAGTAGGGGGGGGGGTTGCGGGGAGTCTTAGAGAATGACATTTAAATATGATCATTCTCAGGAAAAGTGGGATCAAGATACAGAGAACATCAGTAAAGAAAAGAAAAACTCCTGGCATTACCGAAG